GTAAGCATTAGTCATAAGCTATGCTTACGCCGATCTATTGAGCATGCGCAGGGGTGGCGTAAGCATTATTTAGAGGCTATGCTTACGCTGAATAAGGTATACTGAGCATGCACAGGGCTGGCGTAAGCATTATATAGGCCTAGTGGCTATGCTTACGCCGGATTGCTAGTCAACGTAAATAGTCAACTCATTGATCTGCTTACTATTTCACGTTGTCGAGGCATGAGCTTTGTCTAGTCAACAGTTTTCCAAAAGAACAGGCATCGTCATGAACTGAGGCAGACATATTAGACATTTCCACATGAGGACCCAATTCTAGCTTACCTAGAATTCTGTAGCACTTGCCTATTTAGCCTGCCTAATTCACTTTACTCAAGTACTCCATATCATCCTTGTGTACCTTATTTGACCTGTGCCAAGCTCTTGTACTTTCCTCATGAGTGCCGTCTGTTAATTGTGATACAGTACTTCATTGTTAGATAGGCCTATCTAGCCCAATTTATGTTGATATTGATACAATACTATATCTGAAATAATAAAATGTACAGTATCTATATGTATGATGTGTAGAATGTTGGAGATGACCTGCCTGCTGCAGTGATATTCTGATTTTAAATCATTGTCCTCTATATTACAGTACATAATTAAAAAGCGAAATTAAAAACAAGAATTTCCCCTATGGTGCTCTTATCTCGATCCCTCACCCCGACCTTTCCAACATCTATTGATCCGTGTCCCTATAAAATTCTTAATTTTCCTATTATGAACAAGTACGCATACAATAATTACAAGAGAGCGTGACACAGTTTCAATCCAATTTTGTTATTAATATACAAAAACACTGTAGTATATTTCGGTTTATGCAAGCGTAATCGATTGAATAGAATTTTAATTCGGGGTTGTAGTTTCTTTTAGGTGCACGTTTTTTGGCAGAATCGATGCTACGTGAAGATCGTTTATATAAATTTATGTGATTTTCTTTCTCCTAATTCGATTCAGCTTCTGACAATTTTTCATAGCTTGTGAAAGTGCCACCGAGACGCAAAGTGTCTTCATCTGCCATCTTGAAACTTCACCAAGTGTGCGCTACAGAAAAAAAAATATTTGCACATGCTCAATAGGACGTTTTCGTACTCACGAAGCAAGCGGCGCCCTTCAAATAGATTGGCGTAAGCATAGCCTATGATTAATGCTTACGACTCGGCGTAAGC